AGCCAGTAGCTTCCTCTGGGTCTCCCATGTGGGTGCAGGAGCACAAGGACCTGGGTCATCCTCCACTACTTTCCCAGGCCATAGCAGAAAGCTGGATCGGAAGTGGAATAGTCGGAACTCGAACTGGCACCCAAATGGGATGGCAGCACTGTAGGCGGCAGCTTTACCACACCTCAGTGTCGCCCCTCTAATATACTTTTAAAAAGAAAATCGCTGCTCTCATTTTCTTCTACTTTCTTTGGATTTAATTCAGTTTTCTCCCCCCCCCCTTTTTTTTTCTGGTAATGAATACATAGAAATTAGCTTTAACTTTTTTCCTTTTCTTTTTTTAAAGATTTGTTTATTTATTTGAAAGGCAGAGTTACACAGAGAGAGAGTGAGAGCTTCCATCCAGTAGTTCACTCCCCAAGGATCACAATGGCCAGGGCTGGGCCAGGCCAAAGCTAGGATCCTGGAACTCCATCCAGGTCTCCCAGGTGGGTGGCAGGGGCCCAGGTACCTAAGCCATCTTCTGCTGCTTTCCCAGGTGCATTAGCAGAAGTGCAGTAGCTGGGACTCAAACCAGCACCCATATGGGATGCCAGCATTGCAGGCCACAGCTTAACCTGCTGTGCCACAATGCTAGCCCTTCTTTTCTAATACATGCTTTTAGGACTACACATTTCTCTCATAAGTATGGCTGGAATCATATCACAATTTCTGGTAGATTATTTTTATTATTTAGTTAATTTTTGTTTTCATTGTAATTTCTTTATTGACATATTTTAAAGTGTAATTCTTTTCAATAGGAATATTTTTGTTTTTAGGAATTAATAAGATCAAAGGATATATATATAATTTTACTTTTTTGATACATGTTGAAATTTGCTTTATGGCTCATTATGTGGCTAGTTTGGGTAAATATTGAATTTGTAATTCAAAGATTTATGTATTTTACTCTTGTTTGATGTGGCGTTATGTACATGAATTGAAGCAAGTTTTTAAACATGTTACTCATCTATTTCTATGACTTCTGATTGTTTTCTTAGTTACTGTATTAATCTAACAATGTTGTGGGTTTATCTGTCGCTTTGATTGTTAGTTTTTGCTTTAGTTGTTTTGAGACTGTTACTTGCATAAAAATTTGGGGATTGTGATATCTACATGGTGGGTCAACACTTTTTACATGAAATATCCCCTTCCCTACATTTTTAAATGCCTGCTGATGCTTCTCCAGAGTCAGTTTTGTTTGAATGGGTACCTACGTCAGCTTTTTGGAAAGAGTATGTGTAATACATTTTTTCCATCCTTTGCTTTCAACCTTTCTGTGTCATTTCACTTAATGTGTGTCTGGAAAGTACCATATAACTGATACTTACATAAATGGTGTTTTCCACCCACACCTTCATCTTTTAGACTGTTTAAGAGTTACTATGTATTTACATTTGACATGCTAAAGATGTCATTTAATTGTCTCCTAATTTTCCGTTGAAATGTCAGCTGTCAACCCTATTGTATTTATTTGAAGGTAAAGTGTCCTTTTGAAGAGTTTTGTCTTAGATCTTAAGCAATTTTACTGTGATGTGACACATTGAAATGTGTAGATTTCTTTGTATTTATCCTTCTTGGGGTTTGTGGGGCTTCATGAATTGATGGTTAGTTCTCTGTTGTCAGTTTCTGGAAATCCTTGGCCTGTATCTAAAAATACTGCTTTGTCTCAGTCTTTTCTCCTCACTAGAATCCTCTTAAATGATGCTGGACATTTTTACCGTATCCATTATGCCTCTTCAGTTCTTTTATTTTCCACTTTTTCCCGTTTACCTTAGCATGAACATTTCTTCCCGATCTTTCCGCTCACTGATCTTTTATTTTACTCTAACTAATCTCCTATTAAGTTGATTCTAATACTTTTTATTTCATTACTTTTTGTGGATTCCAATTCTCATTAAAATCCTCAGTCTTCTGTTTCCTTGATATATTAATCAGTGACCATTAATATTTTCATCTATATTTGGTAACTGCACTGTCTGGATCACCTCTTGCTTCTGTTTCTATTCTGTTTTGTTTGGGTCATTTGGTTCTGTCTGCTAGTATGCTTGGTAACTTTTGATTGATTGCTATATATTGTGAGTAAACAATTATAGAGGCTTGGGATGATGTTACCTCCCTCCAATGAGTATTTATTTTATTTCTGGCAAGCTGTTAGAGAGCGATACCCATCACCTTGATCCAGGCTAGGACTAAGATGATTCTGGGGGCTGGCACTGTGGTGTAGTGGGTAAAACTGCTGCCTGCAACACCAGCATCGTATATGGGCAGCAGTTCAAGTCCCAGCTGCTCCACTTCCTATCTAGCTCCCTGCTAATGTGCCTGGGAAAATAGTGGAAAGATGTCCCAAGTGCTTGGGCCCCTGCACCCACTTGGGAAGCACAGAATAAGCTCCTGGATCCTGACTTTGACCTGGCCCAGGCCCCACCATTGTAGCCATTTGGGGAGTGAACCAGCAGATGGAAGATTTCTGTCTTTCCCTCTCTCTGTAGCTCTGCTTTTAAATAGAAATAACACCCCCCCCCCAAAAAAAGTGATGCTTCTGGGCCTGGTTTCAGTACCTGTACAGACTGCCCCATTTCAGTTTTGCCCCTACATTAGGGCATTCCCTGTAGCAGACTCAGCTGGAAGACGAAGGTACTTAGCAGAGCTCCCCTTTGTCTGCAGGCTCTCAGCTCTGGTTTTGATTCCCTAGTACTGTGAGACTGCTGAAAGGTGCGCTAGTTTTGACTGCCTCTTGCTGCTTGTCACAGGCATTGGCAGGTACCTGGAGAGAAAAAGCAGTGAAGAATGTTGCGCGCTTTTCACTGCCTTTGCCCTCTCTCCAGGATCATGACCCCTCAAGTCTGGAGTGCCTTGGTCACTCTTTGATGTCTTTAAAAAGCTGGGCTTTGTTTGTGAAGAGGTTGCTCTGATACCTGCTCCTCTGTTGCAGCCACAGGTGGTGGGCAGAGGACTTCTTCAACTTTATTACCTTTTGTGTTTTCCTCTGGTAAAGAATAGAGAGGAGGTGTGACTGAGACAACTTGATTGAAGAATTTGGTACAGTATGTGTTCTTGGGTTTCATTCCTTTCACATCAGTAAAAAACAAAATTGTATTTATTTTTTTATTTTTATTTTTATTTGTTTGAAAGGCAGAAAGTGGGGGAGAGGTATTTTCCACTCACTGGTTCACTCCCCAAATGCTCACAATAGCTGGGGCTGGGGCTAGGCCAGGTCAAAGCTAGAAGCCTGGAGCTCCATCCAGGTCTCCCACATGGGTGGGTGGGACTCAGGTGGTCTGCTGCCTTCCATGGTACACATTAGCAGGGAGCAGGATCAGAAGTGGAGTAAGCCAGAACTCAAATTAGGTTCTCCAGTATGGGATGCCAGTGTCTCAGATGACACCCATTACACAACAGACCTATCCCAAAAGCAGTTTTTTAGAATCAGGAAATTACTGTTTAACTTGCTCTGTAGCCCATAGACATAGGCTTATTTAGTGAATAAATACTCTAAAATGTTACAATATTTACATAGCAGAAATATAACTACCTTTTCATTTAGCATAAGAAATATTTGAGTAACACACCATGAAACACATGTTATGAGGCCACCATTGTAGTATAGCAGATAAAGCTACTACCTGGGACACCGGCATCCCACATGGGTACCAGTGCATGTCCCGGTTGCTCCACTTCCGGTCCAGCTCCCTGCTAATGGCCTGGGAAAAGTAGCAGAAGATGGCCCAAGTGCTTGGGCCCCTGAACCCATGTGGAGGACCTGGAAGAAGCTCCTAGCTCTTGGCTCCTGGCTTCATCCTGGTCCAGCCCTGGCCATTGCAGTCATCTGGAGAGTGAACTAACAGATGGAAGATTTTCTCTCTCTCTATCTAACTCTGACTTTCAAACAAATAAGTATTTTAAAAAAATAGACTTTCTGACTAATAATTTTATTATTACCTGTTATCTTCAGTTTTGTTGATAGAGATGTATTTTAAATTTATTATTAGAGGTCATAAGTGATTGTGAAAAAATATTATGGTATCTGTTGAGAACTTGGACTTTTTCACACCAGGGTGTCCCTTGGCATGTCTCAGAGTGAATATATTTAAACGGTATCTCCATTTATTAATCAGGAGAATGGCAATGATTGGTCTGTTGTGGCTGTCATAGTTCTCACAGTTCTGGGGGCTGGAAGTCCAGGTGAAGGTTCTGGACATGCAGTTGCTGCTGAGGGCTCTTCCTGGCCGCCGTCCTGCCGTGTCCCCCCATGGCCTTTGCTCAGTGCATGAGCATGGATATGCTGAGGTGGGAGGGTGGTCTTATAGGACCACCAGTCCCATAGGGCGCCACCCTTTTGATCTCAGTTAACCTTAGTGATTTCCTTGGAGCCTCGGTCTCCAAACACAGCCACATCTGGGGTTGGGGCTTCAACATATGCATGGGGCAGAGGGGGATGCAGCTCAGTCCGTAGCATACTGTGATACGGATGCCCTTCAACTTCACAGTGGGTTATGCTCCAGCAAGCCCGTGGCAAAGTCACACCTGCAGGTGGAACCATTGGAAGTCAGGGACTCTGCACGTCTAACTACTTAAGATAGGACGCTACACAGAGTGATTAATAAATTGTGGTAGTGGTGATTTTTTTTTAAGATTGTATTTATCTCAGAGGTAGAGTTCAGACAGAGAGAAACAGAGAGAAAGGTTTTCCATCCACTGGTTCACTCCTCAAATGGCTGGAGCCGCAGAGCTCAGCCGATCTGCAGCCTAACGGGTCTCCCACGTGGGTGCAGGGGCCCAAGCACTTGGGCCATGTTCCACTGCTTTCCCAGGGCATAGCAGAGAGCTGGATGGGAAGAGGAGCAGCAGGGACTTGAACCGCTGCCCACATGGGATGCTGGTGCCGCAGGTGGAGGCTTAGCCTACTACGCCACAGCACTGGCCCCGTGGTAGTTGTGATTTTGAACGGATCTTTCTCCTTTCTTCTCCAGGTGCTGGCCTTGGGTTGCTTTCCGGAACACTAGGAATGGTCATTTCTGTTTTTCGGGACTTGAGGCTACGACGCTGAAGAGAAGCCTATGTAAATAAGCTGACATCACTGCTGCCGTCCCTTCTGTTGGGAGACTCCCTGCTTCCCCGCGCCCCGAGGAGTGGACGACCCGTGTGGTCACTATGAACGTGACCAGTTTGTTCTCCTTCACGAGTCCCGCCGTGAAGAGACTTCTCGGGTGGAAACAGGGCGACGAGGAAGAAAAATGGGCAGAGAAAGCTGTGGATGCCCTGGTGAAAAAACTGAAGAAGAAGAAGGGCGCCATGGAGGAGCTGGAGAAGGCCTTGAGCTGCCCGGGACAGCCGAGTAGCTGTGTCACCATCCCCCGCTCCCTGGACGGCCGGCTGCAGGTCTCCCACCGGAAGGGGCTGCCCCATGTCATCTACTGCCGGGTGTGGCGCTGGCCCGACCTCCAGAGCCACCACGAACTGAAGCCACTGGAATGCTGTGAGTTTCCTTTTGGTTCCAAGCAGAAGGAGGTCTGCATCAATCCCTACCACTACAAGCGAGTGGAGAGCCCTGGTGAGTGAGCAGCTGGTCTGTGTGACTGAGAGCATCCAAAGAATCCCCTTGGTTTTAGTCGTAGTTTTAGAAATATTTGGAGAGAGAGAGAGTAGGTGTGTGGGTGTGCAGGTGGGAGAGAGAGAGAGAACCCTTGAGTGTTTCCAACATTTTAACAGCTTGATTCTATTAGGAGCAGGCCATGAAAATTATGATTGCTGTAGTAACACCTCTCTTTTTTAAATAAGCTGTTTTGCTTCTATTTTTGTTGTTGTTTCATATTGCCTGCATTTCTGCAAGCAAATTTAGCTGTGAAATGTATTATAAGGGAAGAAAAAGAAGCCCAGTGTCATTTCCCTCTGCGTGCTGGAGGGAAGTCATCATGGAGGCAGCTGCCAGTGACTTGTGCCACTTGTACTTAAGAAGAGTACTTTCTAGGGGTCAGTGTTGTGGCACAGAGTGTTGAGCCACTGCTTAGGGCATCTGTGTCACATATTAGAATGCTGGTTCAAGTTCTGGCACCTCTGCTTGCAACCCAGCTTCCTGCGAAGGCATCTACTTATGCATCCTGGAAGGCAGCAGATGATGGCTCACGTGCCACCCACATGGGAGACCCAGATGGGAGTTCAGCCTCCTGGGTTTGGTCTGGCCAGTATTGACTATTGTGGGCATTTGGGAAGTGAACCAGTAGATGGAAGATCTGTCTCCCTCACCCTGTGTTCTGCCTTTCAAGTAGATGAACATAAATTAAGATCTTTTTAAAAAAAGGATTGATATTTTTTAATCATGTGTGCTCGGATTTTGCCGTGGAATTTCTGTATTCCCTGTGGAGGGTATGAAGAGATTATGTTCTTCTATGGAATCACTTGATACTACTGCTTTGTAAGATATTCCTAGTTGTTACAAGTGTGGCCTTTTTGCACATATATTAAAGGTATACAGTTGACCCTCCCTAGCTGTAGGCCCTGCAGCCATGAATTCAACCAACTAAAGATTGAAAATATTAGAGGGCCGGTGCTGTGGCTCACTTGGTTAATCCTCTGCCTATTGCACTGGCATCCCATATGGGCTCCAGGTTCTAGTCCTGGTTGCTTTTCTTCCAGTCCAGCTCTCTGCTGTGGCCCGGGAGGGCAGTGGAGGATGGCCCAAGTGCTTGGGCCCCTGCACCTGCATGGGAGACCAGGAAGAAGCACCTGACTCCTGGCTTCAGATCAGCTCAGTGCCGGCTGTAGCGGCCATTTGGGGGGTGAACCAACGGAAGGAAGACCTTTCTATCTCTGTCTCTCTCTCTGTCTGTCTATACCTGTCAAATAAAAAAAAAGAAAATATTAGAAAAAATTGCATCTGTCTTGGACAATCACAAACTTTTTTTTTCTTGATATTCCCTAAGCAATAGCAACTATTTGCATAGCATTTACATCTTGTTAGGTATTCTGAGTAATAATAGGATGAGTTAGGTTATTTAATAGGATGTGCTTAGGTTATTTTTAGAAACTGTGACACTTTATAGAAGGGACTTAAGCATCTGCAGATTTGGTATTGGCAGGGTCTCTGCAGCCAGTCTTCCAGATACCAAGGGATGACTGTTTTAGAATTTGTCTGTTTTTTCCCTCCTCATTCTGGATGGTTGGATCCATTGGAAAGTGATTAGGTATTCGGTTGTTTAATGTCATTGTCAGCTTGAGACCAGTTTGGGGTTACAAGGGTTCCTTAATGTGGCTGTGTGTTAGAATCGCATGACTTCCTCCACAGAAATCCTGATCTGGGGATATCATGGTACCCTGTTTTTAACAAGTACTTCGGGTGTGGCTGATGGAGGCAATAGGTTGACCTAGATCATGTAATACTACTGTGGCTTTCACAGAAAGGGCAGTCTGTATTTTTCTGAATTATATGTAAGTCAAACAAAATAACTTTAAAGACTAAGGAATAATATAACAAGCATCTTTTTATCCCCCACGCAGTTGAAGGAATAAATAAAAGATGACACATAAACTGAGCCACCTGTTAGTGTCCCTCTGACCCTATTTCCTTCAGTAACCACTCTTTCGAGTTTGATGTTTGTCATTTTCATTCATGTTTTTATAATGTTGTGTATGTATGAATCCATGATGATCTCTTCTGTTATTTTGTGTACTTTAAATTATTACATGAGGAAATTTAGAATTTCCTTGTACAATTGCTATAGTCATTCAACATAATGCTTTTTGTGATTTTAGATTATATACTTCAGGATTACCTTGTCAAATGCCGTGAAAAACCCTCTGGGAATTTGTTGGGCTTTCATTGATTCCCTTTGGGGAGGATTGACATGGTTATGCCCTGGAGCATAACATTGTTCAGTAACCTTAAAGTTTTTCTCATTCAGTTCTTGGACATCTTTTTTAGGTTTATTTCCAGATAAGTGGTTTTCATTGTGTCATTTAAAGAATTCCTTTTGGGTAGGAGTACAATTACTATTTTCTCCAACAGCAGTGTTAATTTCTCCTCATTCCTTCCAGTATAAACATTCTTCACTGTTTATTATGCCAGCTGTAATGTAAATTTTCTTTGGAAAAAAAATGCTTAACACAGAGATGCATAGTCCTCTTTTAGCTGGAAATTAAAATGGAAGTAAGCGTTTTTGGAGAATGAAGTATAGTGTATGAGTCATATGTACTAACCAGATCATTAGGCACATCCTTTTTCTTTAATCTTTATATGCAGCATAAGAGGTGCATAGGGAGACTTTAATTCCACTACTCAGGGGGCAAAACTGACCCCCACAAATTAAGTGACCTGTATGTCATAAAAACTGAAAGTAGAGGCATTTTTTAAAAATAATTTTTATTTATTTGAGAGGCAAAGAGAGGAACAGGTAACTTTCATCCACTAGTTCACTAATGCAGCTCTCTAAATAATGAAGCACAGAACTCAATCCAGTCTCCTGCATGGGTGGCAGGAACCCAGTTACTTTGATCACACCTGGTGCTTCCCACTGTACACATTCAGGAAGCTGAAGTCAGAACCCAGAATCTGGAATCGAACTCAGATATTCTGATGTGGGAAGCAGGCATACCAGCCAGCACCTTAACACTTAGGCTAGTTTTTTCAATTGATAGAAAAAAATTGGCATCCAAGGGACATTATTTCCAGGACCACTCCCCACACCCCCATGGATACTAAAATCAGAGCTACGTAAGTCCCTTATATAAAGTAGTATAGTATTTGCATGTAACTTATACATATCCTCTTTAAATGATCTCTAAATTACTTGTAATACCTAATGGAATGTAAATAGTATCTGAATAGTTATTTTGCTTAAATGATTCTATCAGTTTAGCTGGACACTTCAAAGTTTATAGGAAATGTAAGTAAAAGGCACGTTTATTTGGCTTTTTTTTTTTAATTCTTAAGTACACAGGGTCTTCAGAAAGTTCGTGGAGAATGGCTATTATAAAAAAAAACTGCAAGGACATCAGAATTTTTTGCACCAAATTAAGCACATCTTCTAATTCCTTTTTCCATGAGCTTTGGAAATCCTCCAATACTGACAAGAAAGATTCAGTTATAGGGTGTTCAGAACACACAGAATTTTTATTTCTCCAGATATTTGTAACCCGAGGTTCACTGAGTCCACAGATGTGGAACCTCCAATTCAGAAGGGGCCAGCCATGAGGACATATGTTTATGGGGCACAGTGTGATGTCTCCGTACACGATGCCTAGTGCAGTGATCAAACCAGTGGAGTCAAGGTGTGCACCTCCTCCCATACTTACCATTCCTTTGTGGTAAGGACATTCAGAGTGTGCTCTTGGAGCGACTTTGAAATGCATGTGTTAACTCCACTCACCATGCTGTGCAAGAGATCACCAGAAGTTACTGCTCCTTTCTAATGAAAACCTTGTGCCCTCTCGCTGAGGCCTCTCCTTACCCCACCCACCGCACCCCCTGAGCTTCTCCTAACCACCATTCTACTCTCTACGCCTGTGAGCGAACCATCTTTAGATTTCAGATACAAGGGAGCTCACGTAGTATTTGTCTTTCTGTGCCTGGCTTATTTCACTTAGCGTGATAGCCTCTAGACTTATCCATGTTGCAAATGACAGAATTTTTTTTTTAACTTTTATTTAGTAAATATAAATTTCCAAAGTACAGTTTATGGATTACACTGGCTTCCCCACCCCATAACTTCCCTCCCACTCACACCCCTCCCATCTCCCGCTCCCTCTCCCATTCCATTCACATCAAGATTCATTTTCAATTATCTTTATATACAGAAGATCGATTTAGTATATATTAAGTAAAGATTTCATCAGTTTGCACCCACACAGAAACACAAAGTGTAAAATACTGTTTCAGTACTAGTTATAGCATTACTTCACATTGGACAACACATTAAGGACAGATCCCACATGAGGAGTAAGTACACAGTGACTCCTGTTTTTTTTTTTTTTTTTTTTTTAACTTTTATTTAATGAATATAAATTTCCAAAGTACGGCTTATGGATTACAATGGCTTCCCCCCCATACCGTCCCTCCCACCCGCAACCCTCCCCTTTCCCACTCCCTCTCCCCTTCCATTCACATCAAGATTCATTTTCGATTCTCTTAATATACAGAAGATCAGTTTAGTATACATTAAGTAAAGATTTCAACAGTTTGCTCCCACACAGAAAGTGACTCCTGTTGTTGACTTAACAATTTGACACTCTTGTTTATGGCATCAGTAATCTCCCTAGGCTCTAGTCATGATTTTCCAAGGCTATGGAAGCCTTTTGAGTTCGGCGACTTCGACTTCGATCTTATTTCGACAGGGTCATAGTCAAAGTGGAAGTTCTCTCCTCCCTTCAGAGAAAGGTTCCTCCTTTTTTGATGGCCCCGTTCTATCCACTGGGATCTCACAGAGATCTTTCATTTAGGTTTGTGGGTTTTTTTTGTTTGTTTGTTTGTTTGTTTTTGCCATAGTGTCTTGACTTTCCATGCCTAAAATACTCTCATGGGCTCTTCAGCCAGATCCGAATGCCTTAAGGGCTGATTCT